ATTCAGTACGCGCCTTTCACGCAACTTGCAAGATCTCGTAGTTGAATGGAAAAATCACCTATTTAAAAACAACTTACATCGTCCTCAGCAAACACAGAGAGACTAAAAAATGAACCCAAGAATGAAAGTCGTTGAAGTTCTCTTCCAACAGCATTTGTGATTGGTTTGGGAAGCCAACATGGTAGAGAGGTCATCTAATAATAAAAGAAATATGTCAATACAATAACATAGAATACATTATGTGGTTCTACTATGTGAATACTTATCAGTTCAGACATGACGTGATAACTGTTATTTGTTACAAATTATACATAACTGTACATCATGTGGAGTGTGTGACCAAATCCTTATCATAATGGCATTTGATGTGCTAGCCATGTTTTAACAAGATCTGAACACAAACACCCACAGAGCATCCCACTAAGTACCCAGAATATGATGCTATTTGGTGTTCACAGAAAAATTTGAACTCCGGATACATATCAACCATAACAAGTCATTGAAAATGACACAGTCCCCGTTAAATTAAGTTCTCTTTATGCTCGTTATATTAAAGCGGAGGGGTTGTCGCGAGCGTGTCCTTGAAACTTGAGTTCCAAGCGGCGTATACAACAGATTGTTTATTTACATCAAAACACGTGTTCCGTGTAGTAGTAATATGGCCAAAAATAAAAACAGCCGTTATTCGGCCATCTTTGATCTGATTATGAAACACACTGATATGTATGATGTATGTGCCAAATACGAATGAAAATGGTACATAAATTGTGGAAATATAGTAGTAAGGCCAAAAAGTCAGATGGCTGTCAATCGGCCATCCTTGACCAGATTTTGAAACAAATTGTCATGGACATGTATCCTAACATGTATGATCTATGTACTAAATTTGAATGAAAACTGACAAAGCATGTTCAAAATACGACATTTTCAAAAAACAAGATGGCTGCCAGTCGGCCATCTTTGATCCAATTGTGAAATAAATTGTCATGGACATGTATCCTAACATGTATAATCTATGTACCAAGTTTAAATGAAAACTGACAAAGCATGTTCAAAATACAACATTTTCAAAAAACAAGATGGCTGCCAGTCGGCCATCTTTGATCCAATTGTGAAATAAATCATCATGGACATGTATCCTAACATGTATAATATATGTACCAAGTTTGAATGAAAACTGACAAAGTATGTCCAAAATACAACATTTTCAAAAAACAAGATGGCTGCCAGTCGGCCATTTGAATCTAATCGCTAAACCACTGCATGTGCCTATGTCCCACATAAAGTACTAGGCACATGCAAAGAATGAACGGAATCAGTCCAAGGGATTCTGAGATATGACTCCGGATGGACGCACATACGGACACCGAATTATAAGTCCCAGTTTTCGGACTTCGTCTGAACGGGGACTAATTACCGTACTTCCTCGATCATAGACCCTTCAGGAGAATAAGCCCAACCCTCTATTTTTAGACATTTTTAACGAGTTGAGGGCATCCTCAATTATAGGGTGTTTTTCGAATTAATTAATAATTAAGAGTGGCACAACATGGTTCACACACTTTCTATTCTGTTATTTATCCAGCATGAACCCTGATTTTTTTCAAAAAGACGGAATATTCCCCCTGCATGGAGAACGAAAGATGTAATTTGGATAATTTTCATGGATGGTAAGATGGTTACAAAAAAATTATCTTTTCTGAAGTGGGCGAGTATAAGCCCTGGGGGGAAGTATAGTACCTCTGTTACATTACACCCCTATTATAGTATCACACTCACCAAAGTACAAATTGGTCTTCTTGATCCTAGTTTTATTTCACAAAGTTCACTCAGTGCCTAGAAACAAACAAAATGAATTCACTTTTGTTTAACCAAAGTTATTGTCAATTACATCATATAATTAGATCATCAGTTTGTAAATAAAATTAAAAAAATATGCTGACAATTGCAATATACGTACACTGAAAACCTATGCAGGCTAGGACAGAACATATATTACTAGAGACGAGTTAGACCGTGAAGAGCCCCCCAGCAAAGAAGTCCTGTAGTCAAAATCCAAGGCAGGGGGACATGTGATTGTGGTGGGATAGCTAAAAATATTGACATTTTCATCTTTAGCTTTTGCCCACAACAAAATTATGATGCACATTTTTTTTATATATTTTCCTTAACATGTTTTTTTTTAAGGTTTTTTACAAATGCTATAGAAACACAAGAATTTATACACAGAACCATTTTGTGAAAGGTGTGAAAAGTTAACATATACTGAAGGCAAAGTTGAGAGGGTATAGTTGTATTGGGGTGTAAATAGGGTAGGTAACTATAATGTACAAATACATGTACTAGTTATTTCTAAAATCTGTAAGAAGTGATCTTACTATTAAGACATCGTCAGCTGAAGCCGATTTATACAATTCACGAAAGCTATCCGTAGAGGATCTTAGCAGCCAATGTGTTAAAATTACAATGCACAGTGTTTAAACCCAAAGACTACCAAATAAGACGGATACATACCATTAATGGATATTTAAAGTTATCAGAATCTAATCCACATCGTTGTACAGCCTGTGCCAACCCTAACAACACTGGAGTAAATACCTGACAAATAATAACAAAATATAGTTTATACAAATAGATGTAATAATGTAATATACTTTATTTTAGTTGGAACTGATTTTCGCTGAAAAGACTTTTTGAAGGTTTTATATGAAATTTATTTTCACTGATTTTTTACAAATTGAATGTAAAATATAAGAAAAAAATTATATTCGCTGGATTTTATTTTCATTGAATCATTCCTTCAGCGAAATTAGTGAAAATTAATTCCAAGCAAAAATAAAGTATTTTACAGTAGTTGAGCGCTGATAAAACACAAATTACACTAGCCTTTCGATTGCTACAATATATTGTTCTGATTGGATGAGAACTTGTATTTAATTATGCAAGCAGTGGTAAAATAGATGATGTTTTTTTGTGTTGAGAAGGAGGCCCCCAAACATGAATAACACACAGAAAATCTTGCTATCAACAGAAATCAAGAAATACGATATTTTTCGCTATGAACGTAGAGAGTATTGAAGAACCTTGCAAGCCACAGATATTCGGGGTTCAACAGAGATGCACAGGAAAGTTAATGTTTCAGAAGTTCGCAAACGTCATAAAAAAATTATTGTGGTTTTGTTGATCCCCGAAATGTAATCGAACACAAAACACCAAATTTGCGTCAGTACTTCTGTGAAATTACGTCAGTTGAAATGATTCAACATATATCAACATTGCCGTCAACCGAAAACTACACAAACCAAAATACATGTGAGAATACCGTTAGCCATATTCACAATTATTTCTCCTCTTATTTAATAGGTTGAATACCCATGACTAGACATGTACCGTTAATTTGGAACAAAAATAAATGTACAAAAGGTACACCCAGAAAAAAAATAACACATGAAAATACTTACAATCAGATGAAATAACATGCACACTTATAGTCCACATCAAGTACATTTTTAGTAGACCCACATACAAGTACACTTGAAACATATTTCACATCAAGGAAATGTCAAGAAGCCATAGTTTAGTATGTTTATATTAAACAGTATGTGTACACAAGACAAAAAATACTCGAATGATAATAAGAATCTCACAAAACCAATTTAAGAACTGTGTTTTAATGAAAAATATAATGATAATAAGAATCTCACAAAACCAATTTAAGAACTGTGTTTTAATGAAAAATATAGCTCAATAAAAGTGAATATTTGAATACTTACTGCCGTAAAAGTTGCTTCATCTTGATTTGTGACATGAACTAACTCGTACAAAAATCCACGTGGTAAAACCCGACATAGCTGATATGGAACAATCCATGACGGTTTACTGGATATCCTAGTAGTTTAACGAGTAATTAATAGGGTTATTTCAGATTTGAAATTGAAATGATAAATCTGATTGAGATGATAAATTTCATTCTTTGTGCTTTTTTAATAGTGCAAGTGATGTCATCATTATGTGTTCCAGTGCCAGTGATGTCATCATTATGTGTTTCAGTGCAAGTGATGTCATCATTAAGTGTTCTTGTACAAGTGATGTCATCATTAAAGTGCCTGTGAAATGGCTGCCATTTTCACGCCTAAAATTATCCATTGATACATAAATATTATTAATTTTTATGTTTCTAAGCATAAATAATTTTTTTAAGTGAAAACATGTGTTTTTTTAACATGTGTTTTTTGTGTATTTTAAAACGAGGCTCCTCATTAGCTTCTCATTTGCATACAGAAATTCCCCTTGTGACATCAGAAGGGGAAGTCGCTGGGCAGCTTGCATTGCCGATACGTGTAAATAAGGCAAATTTCCTGTGCTGTTTTCTCGTCTTTGACTAAATTGCCACTTATGTACTTGTTCGTCGAGGAAGAATGGACCATAATGAACACATAGTATCAAGTTTGTTGCATGGGGACTCAGTTTGTTGAGTCAGATGCGAAATATGTCCGGTCTGGTGTCGCTAGTCACCGTGGTCGTCACCGTCACCGGAGCACGTTTGTACACTGTCGCTGGACTCCGGCATTGGACAAAATCGAATTTGACGGCTGAATCGTCTTGTTATTTAGCAGGTTACTAGACACTATTGATTTATAAAATAGAGAAATAATTAGAAAACGACAAAACACAGTTACTAAATAAATGACT